GGGTTTGATCCCTAACGCCTGACAATGGAAAATTTTAGGGTCAATATGTGGCTCAGTGGTAGAGTACTTTTTTTTAAAATTAATTAATGTAGGAGTACTGCTTTTATTCAGCCACTGAGTAAGTTGACTGACGTGGGCATAAATTCCACATTACTTTTTAAAAAAATTTTTAACTGAACATCCGTGAGATAGATCATTACAAAGCTGTTCATAACTGGGTTTCAGTCATACAACGATCCAGCACCCATCCTTCCACCAGTGTACATTTCCCACCAACAATGTCCTGTTTCCCTCCCACCAAACCTCCAACACCCCACACCTCACTCCCAGCCTCCCTCTATGGGAGGCTCTCTCTTACTCTCTTACTCTCTCTCCTTTTCCTCTTGTATGATTTTCAATACAGGTATTAAGAGGTCATTGGGTCATTGGGTAGAGCATTTGTCTTACCAAGTGTGAGATCCTGGGTTCTATTCCCAGCACTGCTGAATGTGGCCCACAAACTATAAGAGGCAGGGAGAAATTGACATCACTTGTTTCTAGAATAACAGAGGAAGAAAAAAATTTACAGTGATCCCCTGACTCCTTGAGGGCTATGCTAGGCCTCACTTGTGATATGAAATTGTTATTTCTGCTATTTCCCACTTATTTCTTCTACTTCTCTTCCATTAATGATTCCACGTTCCTTTTCTCTGCCTGTGTTCACAACCTCTATTCAATTCTAGCTATTTGTTTTCTTTGTTATCAAGTTTTGTCCTTCCTCACTGCCGAGACTTTGATTATACCACAGGAACACACTGGTATTGTTTTCTCTTTCTTACTTACCAAAGTTTTGGGCTGGAGAGACAATAACTCAGGTTTGATCCCCAGTACACATAGATTCTCCCGAAGCAAAAAGAGAAAGTACAGCAGTTCAATCTCTGGCATTGCATATGGTCCACTTGAGCACAGAGCCAGAAACAGCCCCTGAACACCACTGTGACCCCTCTGCTTTAGTGAAAAAGAACCATACCTAGTTTAGAGCCTATTAGGGGAATGAAAGAAGATAGTATAATTACTCTATTTCTTCTGATTATAAAAGTCACCTATGTCACTTTTTCTTTTCATTTTGGTAGTGGTGTTACGCTCCAGGACCTGGTGGTGACTCCTGACTCTGCTTTGCATGCATTTAGCCCATTGAACTGATTTTCCAACTCTTGAGTAACTTTTTAAAAATCAAATTTCAGCCATCCTATTTAGAAATAATAATTCTCTGTATCACAGGGTGTAGTGGGCCTGAAATCAGCATTTTCAAGAAGTGCTCAAGGAAATTGTTATAAATGCTTAATTTTGGCAAATAAATATAAAGCTTTCATCAATTAAAGATTGAATATTTGGTAGCTCTGAGAGGTAGTTGTTATGATGGCAGATTTATCATCTATATCCCCTCCTATACTGCCTCCACTTGTCAACTTTCCAATCATAAGCAAAACCTTTGAGTATGTTTCAATTCTCTAAGCCCATCTTCCTTTAAATTTTTACCTAGGCCAGTTTTTATATAGTAAAGCCAGACACTTCATGTCATCAACAAAATGAAAGTAAAGCATAAAGATAACAATTTTTCTAAAGGAAAAGAAAATATAATCATTCTAGGAAACAAACCAGTCCATTATAAAACAAGTGTCCTTGGGGGTATGGTGCCACTGGCAGGTCAATCTGTGCCTGTGAGGCAAGTGCATCAGCAGCCTAATGGTGCCTTCAGACTTCCAGATACCCCCAAATTGCTGCTGTGCCTATGGCCAGATCCCCAAAACTTGGGGAAAAGTTTACCAAGAAAGTAAACGGACAAAAGTTAGGTATGTGGGAAACACACCCCAAAACCACCTCCAGCTCAGCTTTTTTGGAGGCAAGTCCTATCTGGTTCCTGATGGAACTGCTTAACGGCCATGATCCCAGAGACTCAGAGACAAATCTCAGAACCCAGAGGCCTTTGGCAGAGATGCATCTGGTCCCCATAATGGGCTACTGGCACCGGATCGCCTTAAGGGGGAAAGGGTGATGTCCCTCCAACTGCTCCCCCTTGGCAACTCAGTGGCTGCTATCTTCCAGAGGCCATTGGAAAGTCAGGTTTGGGCCCACAGTGACGAGACATGTGGATGGGGGTGGAGCCGGCCCTTTCCTTCCTGCACCAACGAGACCCCGAGTCGCCACCCACAAACGGTCTCTCTGGCTCCAGATCAAGCTGCTTAACAGTCATGATCCCAGAGACTCAGAAACAAATCTCAAAACCCTGCAGCTTTTGGCAGAAATGCGTCTGGTTCCCACAGTAGGTTGTAGGATGACATTGCTTTGTCCTTTCTCCCTTTCTCCACGAGGAACTTAGGTTTATCACAGTGCTCCTGAGGCACTTCCATTCCATTGTGTTTATCTATAAATTCTTCCCTATGCTCTCCTCCCCAACCAGTTAATCAGCTTTCCCCCTAATCAGACTCTGTTAACTTGTAAGGTTAGATTCCTCAGAAATCTATGATTTTATATGTATGAGTGAAATATTGCCTTTCTCCTCTCCTTATGCCTTATGAACAGTTTATTTTAAAGCAATGCCCTTTTTGTATGGATACAGGAAGACCGTTAACATTATGCTTTGTAACTTAGGATTTAATTGGCTTTGAATATTATTCACTCCCGGGCATCTACTTTCTCGACTTAAGCCTCAGTTGCCCTTAGTTCCTAACACCCCCAAAGCAGAGTCCCAACGAGGGACTGAATGGACCCAGGGCAAGCGGTGAGCTACCCTGGCATCGAAATGGGCCAGGCCAAAGTGCCATGATTCTTAACTATAAGAGTTTGATTATAGACAAATGCTGTCATGATCCAAAAGAAACGACGAGACTAGGATCCTGCTAGGGGTGAGAAAGACTATCTGTCCTGAGCACTGTAGTCTGAGATTGAGATGGCCTTAGGAGAGCAATTCTGTAAGTTTAAGATATTTCTTACTGTATCCATACAAAATGATTTATATTATATATTCTTATATGCTTGTCGGACAAGGAGAGGAGAAACACACCCATGGGATTCTGCTCTAGGGTGGGTCGTCCTGCTGAGCAAGGATCTGTCCTAGGAGTAGCTTTCCCTGAGGGAAAGAATTCTACCCCTATTGATTATGAGCACACCTATGTGTAATTGTTACCCCAACCCCTCGTGCTTTGGGATTTAACTGTACTGTGAGAGTGGGCTGGGGGATCAGAAGGAGGATGAAGGGGGATGGAGAAGGAGAATGAAGTAGCATGGGGGAGGAAGAAGCAGAGGCAGAAGCAGAGGAGACTGGTGTGACTGGAATAAACTGCGACTAAGACAACCAGCCTGGCCCTCGTTCCTTCCCTTGCCTGCCCATCGCCATCGACCTCCCCGGGGTGGGGGAAGCAGTGTGAGACTATCGAACGCGGGTGGCGGGAGAGATAGAGCCACCGCCGCTGTGTGCTGTGCCCCTTTTTTGAGTTTACAGAGTAGGTTACTGGCGTCGAGCCACCCCAGGTGGGAATAGGTTTCGTGCATTGGCCTGTTCCCCCTGGCGGCCCAGTGGCCGCCATCCTTCAGAGGCCACTGGACAGTCAGGTATGGGCCCCTAGTGATGAGACACACAGGACCTCATGGGATGGGGATGGAGCAGGTCCTGTCCTCCCCACCCCAACGAGACCCCAAGTCATCGCCCATGAATGGCCTCTCTGGCTCCTGATCAAGCTATTAAATGGCCATGATCATAAAGATTCAGAGACAAATCTTGAAACCCAGCGGCTTTTGGCAGAAATGCGTCCGGATCTCACAGTAGGTTACTGTTGCCGGGCCATTCCAGGGGGGAAAGGATGCTGTCCTTCCACCCAATCCCCTTTGGCAAGTCAGTAGCCACCATTCTCCAGAGGCCATTGGAAAGTCAGGTTTGTGCCCGCAGTGACAAGATTCATGTGGCCTCACGGGATGGGGTGGAGCCGGTTCTTTCCTCCCCGCCCCAACAAGACCCCGAGTCGCTGCCCACAAATGGCCTCTCTGACTCCTAATCAAGCTGCTTAACGGCCACGATCCTAGAGACTCAGAAACAAATCTTGGAACCCAGCGGCTTTTGGCAGAAATGCATCTGGTCCCTGCAGTAGGTTACCGGCACCAGGCCACCTCAGGTGGAAATAGGTTTCGTGACTTCGCTTGTTCCTCTTGGCGGCTTGGTGGCTGCCATCCTCCAGAGGCCACCGGACAGTCAGGTTTGGGCCCACAGTGACAAGACACGCGGGGCCTCACGGGATGGAGGTGGAGCCTTCCCTTTCCTCTTCATCCCAACGAGACCCCGAGTTGCTGCCCACGAATGGTCTTTCTGGCTCCTGATTGAGCTGCTTTACGGCCATGATCCAAGAGACTCAGGAACAAATCTCGGAACTCAACAGGTTTTGGCAGAAATCCCTCCAGATTTAATTGTTAAAATTTCGGAATTTCAAAATCATATGTTATTTATGACCAGCAACAGAAAACAAATGGTCTACTGTTGCCTTTTTGGCAGATCTGAGCATTGGTGTAAAATCCCAAATAATAATGGTCGGTCTGGTGTCGAAATACTGAATGTAATCAAAGTAGAGAGAGAGTAATGTGGAAATCATCTGCCTCACAGGTAGGGGGAGGGTGTGGGATGAGGGTATACTGGGGTTTTTGGTGGTGGAAAATGGGCACTGGTGAAGGGTCAGGTGTTTCATTGTATGACTGAGACTTCAACCCAAAAGCTTTGTAACTGCTCTCACAGTGATTCAATAAATAAAATTATAAAAAAAAGGAAAAAAAAGTAAGGTGGAATTCATGCCCATTTCAATCAGCCTAATCAATGGCTGAATAAACAGCAATACTCCTACAAAAAAAGAAAGGAAAAAAACAAGTGTCTTAATTAGCACATAGTTAATTCCTCATGGATCTGAGATCTGGATATTATTGGTATATAGGCAAAAGGTATCTATTTTTAAGTCTAAAAACTGAATTTTTGATCTTACCTCAGCAGGCTTTTTTCGTTCATTTGGAATTTTGGGATTGCTCCTATACATTGATCCAGAAATGAAGGAAGTAGATGGACCTGAAAAAGAGAGTTATAAAAAATGTGACATACTGCTTACTAATATGATTAAGTGTCATATTACTAAAAGTTACTCAAGAGCATATTAAGTATATGATGGAAAAGATCACAGTTATCTCATACCACTGAAAAAAAGTTATACTGAATCCTAGAAGTCTCATAATGGAGATTAACATTAGGTGACTTTCCAATGTTCAAAAACAATACTAATGTTAAAAGAGATTATATTTGATATAATCAATCTTTATAAACATTTGTAGCAACTATACATGTTCTTCTGCTATGGAGTAAAAGTCTCTACAACTGAATAAACTAAAAAATGTAGTGTAAGTATTCTGTGTATCCTTCAGAATTCTACCAAGTGCTATTGTCTTCACAAATATTGGCTCATCTAGTCAAACATCTAGTATCTGAGCTACAATTAGAATTTTACATATTATGATTTTTCTTTCACACATTTCTTTTGTTTTCTAGAAAAGTACTATTAAATCATTGTAAGACTGTACCTTTGTTGCTTAAATGGAAGTGGAAAAATAAATGACATATATTGTATAAAATCAAGAAAAATGGACCCTAATTTCTCTTTCCTAGAAACTATTTTTTTCAACCACTGAAAAATACATGTAGCAACTTGGTTTCAAGTCAAGGAAAAAATCTTCAAGGAGTATATACACAGGTTATTAGCTCTACTCACTTTCATCCGAACTATCACTACTACTGAGTGTTCTATGGCGTTTCATCTTGGAGCATCCTAGGAAAGAGAAAAACAATGAATAAAATGGTCAACAAAAACACATCCATCCCAGAGTATCTCAAAGACTGGGCAAGGTTACATATAAGCTTCATGGTCACATATAAGCTTCAAGGTCACATATAAGCTTTAAGATAAAGTCCAGGCAGCAGAGGATGTACAAGTTTGGCTGGAACTTCATATGTAGCCACATGGAAAAAGTGGCAGCAAAGACAGACATGTAAAGGGCCAAAGTTGAAAGCATGAGATATGGATAACTGACGGAATAAAAATCAGACATGCCCCATATTTTAAGTGCTTTGTTGTCTGCACGTTGCCATCTTTCTCATTTCCCCAATCTTCCAAATAACTCGAGCGGGCCCAGTAACGTCTCCATTGGAGACTTTGTTGTTACTGTGTTTGGCATATCAAATACTCTCGGTAGCTTGCCGGGCTCTCCGAGAGGGGCGGAGGAATCGAACTCGGGTCGGCCATGTTGGCCGCTTGTAAGGCGAACACCCTATCGCTGTGCTATCGCTCCAAATAACTAAGCTAATCAAAAATTTTACCTATATTTTATTAGGGATATATTAATAGATATTATAGTCAGCACTGTAACTCAGTGGCACAGCACATTTATTGCACCTATAGGACCGGAGTTTAATCCCTGGCATTTTCCCCCACCCCTGCATTTATCTATATATACACCACACACACTTTCTCCCACATACTTTATCTATATATACATCACAAAGAATGTTACAGAAAGCTTATATTTTGTGAAATAATATTTGGACTAAAACGCCTAATGATTAAAATGTCATTTCTTTTTGTGTGCGTTGCCAATGATAGATAAAAATACTAATCTATATAGATTTACAGGCACATACAAAAATGCTCATCACAGAAAAACATTCATTCAAAAGGATGTATGCACACCATTATTATTGCAGAAGTCAGTACATTAGCTAAGATTTGGAATCAACCTGATGTGCAATGGCAGATAAATGGATCATGAAGATGTGGTGTGTGTGTGTGTATATATATATATATGTGTGTGTGTGTGTGTGTGTGTGTATATACACATATATACACACAGTGCAGCTGCATGAAGTTATGAAATCATGCCATTTGCTGCAACATGGATAAAAGTGGAAGGTATTATGTTGAATGAATTAAATCAGAAAGATCTTTTATTTTTTGTTTTTGAGCCATACCTGAAAATGCTTAGGGGTTACCCCTAGCTCTGCACTCAGGAATTACTCCTGGTGGTGTTTGGTCAACAACACCAAAATCATGAAACCCAAACTTTAACAAGCAAACATAAAAAGGTGCTCATCAAGATGGCAGGCTGGGGGAGGAGTGGGCTGGAGAGGGAAACTGTGAACAAGGATGAAGGGAAATTGACAATGGTGGTGCTGTGACACTCTGTATAAAACACAATTATGAGTAACTTTGTAAATCACAGTGCTTAAATAAAATAAACTTTAAAAAAACAGAAAACCTCACACAACTTAACAATCCAAACAAAACTGAGCAGAAGACTGGAATAAATGCCTGCCAAAGAAATAAAACTGGCTGAGAGATACATGAAAAAAATGTTCATCACCACATAAGCCATAAGCAAAATGTTCATGACCACATGATCATAAGGAAAATGCCATCTAAGATCTCATACCTATGAGAATGGCTTATATCAAAAGCAACAATAAGGGCCAGAGAGATAGTACTCTGAGCAGGGCATTCCTTGCATCCGGCTGACTCGGATTTGATCCCCTCCATCCCATACAGTCACTGAGCATCATTGCCAGGAGTAGTTCCTGAGTTAAGAGCCAGGAACAACCCCATGAGCACTGCTGGGTGTTCCCCAAAAGACAAAACAAAAAAAGTAACAGGTACTGCCAACAGTTGAAAATCATTGCATCTCATAAAAATAGTAGAGTTTAGGTAACATGGTAAGATTAACATACAATAACCTGTATAGAGACAACAGCTTTATACACAACAGTGAAAACTGGAAACAACCCAGCTATCTTTCAGCAAGTTATTGGTAAAACAATCTGTAGTATATCCATATCATGCAATAATACTCAAGTAGCAATAAAAAGAATAAAGTACTATATATGCTACAATAAGTGAAAATTTGATGAATAGACAAAACAATATAAAAAGACAAACCAGTGGGCAATGATAACAGAACTAAATTTATGTGAGGTAAAGAGTGGGGAAAGAGACAAGGTAAGTGTGCAAAAGGCTATTAAACTTGGCATTTGTCAAAGAAAAAACTAGTCTTCAAAATTGAAAAAAAATCTCATTCTGCAAAAGGTTTAAGATACAAAAACAAGCTATAGAACAGGACAAAATATTTACAGACCATGTATCTTACTTACAACAGGCTTGAATACAGAATATGTTAAGAACTCTTAAAATATTTTAATTACTACATAAAATTCAGGGGCTTGAGAAATAGTACAGCAGGTAAGGTGCTTGCCTTGATGCGGCCCATCTGGGTTTGATTTCTGGCAGCCCATATGGTCACCCAAGCCTGCCAGCTTTGAACCCTGAGTGCAGAGCCAGGAATAAGCCCTTAGGACCACTGGGTATGACCGTAAAACAAAAAAAAACTCTCAAAATTCAACAGGAAAGAAAATTATATATATAATTGCAAATCATTCACCAAAAAATTGACTTGAATGGATGGTCACATTCATCTTGTTATCAAATGGTAGAAAACCCTTGGCTGTGAGAATGCCAAGAAAAGAGAGATTTGAGGGTGGGGGGAAATAAGGAGGACATAAAGACACTGGTCAATGGTCTTGGATACTTTGGTGATGCAGAAGTGAGGTAACTGTGCACACCAAAACCTGCTGCATATTTCGTAATACAAAATGTATCACAAGCATGTTACCTAAACTATAGTAATTAAATTTTTAAAAATAAATTTGCTAAGGAGGCAAAGTAGAGTGTATAGGGGCTTTGGTGGATGGATGCTAAAAATGGTGGCGGGTTTGGAGTTGGAAGTTTGTATGCCTGAAACACTATTAAATATAGTTAACACACAAAAATAGCTATTATTAAAATCACAGCACCTAAGTAAAAACAGGTGGAGGGATTGGCTTAAATATGAAGCCAATCACCAAAATGCAATAGTAATAACTAATAAGTATATGAAGAGATGTTCAATATCATCAGCCATTAGGGAAATGGAAATTAAAACCGCAATTACTGAAATGGAAAAAAATAAAACACCAAAAGTTTATAAAGAATATGTGAACAGACTACTTCTCCATACATTGCTATTATGAATACGAGTGACACAAGCATTCTAAAACAAAGGGCTAGTTCTTTGCAAAAAATGGGCCGGAGCTGTACAGTGGGTAGGAAATTTGCTTTGCATACAGCTGACCCGGGTTCAATCTCTGGCATCTCATATGATTCCCCATGTACTGCTAGGAGAAATCACTGTCATCCATCCCATTGTTCATCGATTTACTAGAGCGGGCACCAGTAAAGTCTTATTCGTCCCAACCCTGAGATTTCAGCAGCCTCTCCTTACTCGTATTTCCCAACACTGCTGTATTGGAGGCTCTTTCAGGGTTAGGGAAATGAGGCCCATTATTGTTATTGTTTTTGGCTTATCGAATATGCCATGGGTAGCTTGCTAGGCTCTGCCATAGGCATTTAATTATGCACCTGTATTTAATTATAACCTGTATACAGACATTTATAGCAGCTTTAAACACAACAGTAAAAAACTAGAGACAACCCAGCTGTCTTTCAGAAAGTGACTGGTAAAACAATATGTAGTACATCCATACCACGCCTGGCTGTCCTCACTGGGGCCCCTTGCAGGGGGCGGGTTGAGTTTCCCTCCTTGCCCCGAGTGGAGCTCCGGCAGCCAAAGACCTCCAGAACTAGCCACAACCATGCTGAGACCACTCTCCACACGCATGAAGGTACCGGCAGAGGAACAAAGGCATGCGGGTCCCGGGGCTGAGATCTCCAAGCCTGCTCGGATCGGGGCTAAGCATCCTCCACCCAGATCCTTCATCTTCCAGTAGGCAGGGGTCACACTCACCAACTGGCCCCCTGGCGCCGTGTAATCCCATCAACAGCCAAGACCCAGAGACTATAAAACCCAGCTCCCGGAAGCTCCAGACATCGTATCATCTCATTCTTACTTTGGACAACCTGGCAGGCTACCGAATGTAACTTGCCCACACAGCAGAGTCTGGCAAACTCCCCGTGGCGTACCCAATATGCCAAATACCAGTAACAATGATGGGTCTCATTCTCCTAACCCTGAAAGAGCCTTGAATATGGCACTTTTTAAATCTCAGGGCTAGGACGAAGGGTTACTAGGGCCTGCTCGAGGCAATCGACGAACAACAGGATGATCGTAATCATGATCATGATCCACACCACGCAATAGTACTCAGTAATAAAAAGAAAGTTGTATACATGCTACAATATATGAAAAATGCAAATGTAACATCTAGCAAAAACATTATGCTCAGTGAAGTAAGTTATGAACAAGTTATTTATCATATGAGTCCAGATATATGACCTGTCCATAACAGGCATAGCTAGACAGGAAGTAGATAAGACAATTTCTGGAATTGAGAAAAGGAGTATCAGTGTATTACTAGTGGAAACAAAGCTTTGGGGAGGAAGGACAATGTTCTAAAATTTGTTAGTGGGGCCAGCGTGATAGTATAGCATGTAGGGCATTTGCCTTGCATGTGGCAAACCCGGATTTAGTCCCTGGCATCCCATATGATTCCCCCACGTACTGTAAGGAGTAATTCCTGAGTGCAGAGCCAGGAGTAACCCCTGAGCATCACTGGGTGTGACCCAAAAAGCAAAAATAAAAATTTGTTAGTGGTGATGGTTGCAAAACAGATATTATAATAAATACCCACTGAATCGTACACTTAAAAACAGACAAATTAAAAATTTTTTTTCTGGTTTACAGTACTATTAATAATGGTTTCTCATGGACATAATTTCAACATGATACC